CAGCCGTAAGAATCGCCTTTCTTTTTTGTTTATCAGCACCAAACTTTCGCAATAACGGGGAGCGAGGCGGTCGCCCCGCTCTTGGCAGAGCGGGACTTTGGCAAAAAACCCTGTTTGTGTTTTTGTTAGGTTATAACAAATTGTTATTTTACTGTCGGGGTGCAGGTTGGCCGTCGCCGCCCCCGATTCGGGGTAGGACCGGCGGCGCCGTGACGACTCGCGAGCAGACGCCGAAATGTTTTGGATGCGGAAACTGAAAAACTACAAGCCATTTATTTCGTATCTTAAATCGCGCAATACGTATATTTACCCAGGGATATGTAACTCGAGATGCGAGTAAATTGTGTTTGTTTAATGTAATAGAGTTTGCAACAAATTGCGATATTTCAAGTCGTTTTGTTTTTGCACTAAAGAACAGTTATTACATTGAAATAAATGCTACATAGATACAACAACATGTTCAGACAATGTAAAGGATAGTTACATTTTTATGTTTCTGACTATAATTCCGAAATTATTTGAAAAGTTTCATAAAAGTTTCTTATTTTTATCTATAACTGACAATGTCAAAGTATAAAATGTAGTTTATTACACTTTTTTACTTATCTATAATTATATCAGTTCATTCCATAATTTTTAACAAGTTTTTGTTGCAAGATTCAGGTAAATGATTTATCAGTTAAAAGATTAGTATTTTATTTTTTTTTATTAATTTTTTAACAATAGAGTTTACAATAAGAATTCCGTTGACTTTCAAATACCAAGACATCGCATCCTATGTCTGTAAATGTAGCAGATGACCGCGTAAAACTGACACGAATACTCTTGTGGACAGAACAACCCAAAATCTTGCAATTTCACTTGGTATTTTTCAAAAAGTACATATTTCAAGTCTTTTCTTCCGTCGTCAATATTAAGTGGCCAAGGTTTATTGTTTTTTGACACTGGAATTGGTATTGTCACTATCAGCATATTATCAATATTTTCCATCATGAGCACCCTATGAAACATTCTTCTACGTACACCAACAATAACAAAAATTGCTCCAACCTAAAATAAAAAAATATATAACGTCTATATATAATTCATATTTGCTGCACTGAGGGAAATCGACCAATAGAACAGTTTTTCCAAGATAGTCTAGCAATTTTTCTTATTAGTGTTAAAATATCATATGCCAACACGATTTTACTACCATAAGTCGATGCTTTACTAGAACTAGAGGGCACCTTCTTACGATTGATAGGTACATTTTTTCGAACACTTTTTCCACTAAAGGTAAGTAGATAACTTGTTGCACTAGTAGGTAGTCCAGACGGTATCTGTTTCAAAAAGCCATATTTGGGTGAATCGTATATCCACGGAGATTTTTGGCTTTTTGGCTTTCAAATATCACTAGAAATGAAAATAAAAAAAGAAAACGTGGGCTTAACTTTTGGCGGCACAATATGTTTTTTTTTAAAGAAGCGTCTTTCCAAGAACTTTTAAAACCTGCTTTAAAAAATTTGATTTGATTGAATATTCACAAAGTTCTAACTGTTTATAAGTACAAAAATTCGACCAATGTTTAAACAAGCGCCAGAGCTCTCCTAATTGACGGATTCGAATTTTTCAAAAAAATTTTGAAAGCCTGAGAGCCCTTCTATATGTGATTAAATTTTCAATTATCTAAGGGCTTTGGTTTTTGCTGTGTAAACTTTTGAAAATTTGCAATTTTTTTTTTAATCTGGATTGCAAAATTATTATGCAAAATCTATCGAACCGATTTTGATGAAATTTGGTGTGATGATTCTACATAACATAAAGTTTTCTTGAGCCAAGTATAAAGGTCCTACACCCAATTTAAATACACCAAAAAAAATTCCTAAAAAGTATTGTTTTTTAACCCCATTTTTGTGATTTTTTCGATTTTTACCATAATAATCATGATTCATTCGATTTGTAACCAGTCATGTATTGTAAAAAATTTAATTAGAAACATTTTTTTCCTCTTCCATTTTCGCCTAAAATCAACTCTTAAAAAGACACATAATTAAATAGGAAGAAAAATATGACATTTTTCCAATTTTTTTAACATATTGTGCCGTCAAAAGTTAAGCCCACGTTTTTTTTTATGCGCATAGAAAAATTTTCATTTCCAGTGATATTTGAAAGCCAAAAAGCCAAAAATCTCCGTGGATATACGATTCACCCAAACCAAAACAGATACCGCCTGGTCTATAGGTATATAAATAACAGGAATATGATTACCAACAAAGCTTTGACTGTATTGGATATACAGGTTCGGAAAGTCCCCATGGTACATCGGCCGTTATGTGAGAGCGATAAAGTAAGGCATAGAAATCCGTGCTAGAAAGACAAGGATGGTTACATTGAAGACGTTTCATAATCTGAATAGTCACTCCCACTTCTAACCCGATACGGGCGGTGACTATTCAGATTATGAAACGTCTTCACTATAGCCATCCTTGTCTATCGCACGGATTTCTTTACTTTACTTTGTCGCTCTCATGTAAAGGCAGATGGACCATGTGGATTTTCCAGCCCTGTATATGTTATGTTAAGGATAAAAATTTTTTGAACAAGATTAAGATATATGCATTGTTATGAAGGAGTGTTTATATCATTCATTCATCAGTTATCAACTTTGGTTTATAATTTGATTTGTATTCAAAAAGTTAAAAATAAAATTAGGGGGCTGGTGAGACTGTCCAATTATAGATATCTTGTTTTTTATTTGTAACTTTAAAATGAAGGGAAAATTTAAAGACGAAGCTAATAATTGAAGCTAGCACATAGTTATGCCAGAAAAATAACTTGTGTTTAAAAGGTCACTTATTTGTGGGAAAAAAAGAATGTTTGCTGGTATTATCATAAAACTCGTCTTCCTAGGACGACAATCTAACATCCCCGACAAAACCATTTGCAACTGTAAAAAATTGTGGTATAGCTACCGTAATAAGATGGTCTTGCAACAATAAATAAAAAGATTGTAATTGTTAAATCGTTTGTACACTAATATACAATTGTTTTCGTGACTTATAAGGTATTAAATTTGACATTTCCGCGGATTTTGAAACTTATCGACATCAATGAACTCACTATAAAACATTTTTAACTTGATATTAATTCACATTTTTAAGAACACCAGCGATTTCCACTATCGATGTCAACTAAAGAAGTTTATTTACAATATCGTCAAAGTACATACAATATTTTTCCAAGTTTCTGCTTTCAAACAACCAGCTAAAGACGGACAAAATAGAGAATGCGGAAAGTATAGTTCATTTGCATTCATTCATTTGCATTTACCGGAGAAATTTCAGAAAATATATAACAGGACATACAAATTCAAAGCTCGGTGACTATAGACGCACATACGACATAGGTGTGAGAAAGTATATATTTTTAATTGATATATCAAGTTAAAATCACCCAAACATACTTTATGGTGTAAATATTCCATGTTAAAAGCGATCATATTTATTAATGAAAATGAAGGTATTTGATAATATGCTAAACTGAAATAATTTTTGAAGGCTTTAGACCTAAAAAGTATCTTTGCAAGTGAAAAAGTGGATACATTTTTTACCGATGAAGTAGGCTTATCAAATTATTGGTTTTTATAGTCGTGTCTTCGAGAGAGTAACAGGGATATTTATCAAAAATGTTTTGATGCATTTATAAACATTTTTTTTATTCATTTTTTTATAGTCTTAAGCCAAATAATCATATCCGATCAAAATAAAATTTACATTTCAGAAATGACAGGAAAATATTTTTTCCAGTGACAAGTCATATATTTTCAGAAAAATACATGCTTACCTTACATCTTTTAGTTTAAGTAGAAATTTATTTTCTTCACATGATATGCCATTTTATTCATATAGTTTGTTTGATTATAAAAGCCCCGAGCTCGGTTACGCATTTTTGGACACCCTGTAAAGTATATATTTTTAAATGGGATGTTATTTTCTTTACACTGACGTAAAATTTTTTTTTTCGTCACACTAGATGAGTGGTGACGTCAGATATTTTATTTAAATGGGATTATATAAATTTTTTGCATGTTTTGATAGATTTTTTTATTCTCTTTCCAATCATATGAAATTTGGATGCCTTTGCATGAGGAAATTTTTGAGAAAAAATTAGAAAATTTTCAGCCTTTCACTTTAGTTTACGGTGTTCGCTTTCTAATCATATCAAATAGAAGGCGCTGGAAAAACAGTTTTGCATACAGCTCACATATCGGTTTGTTTGTAACTATTGTCACCTTTCAACTTATAACAAAATTAATGATTTTAATGAATTAATCGATATACTGCAGAATTTGTTAATAATAGAGTGAACGTAAACAAATGATAAATTTAGTTTAATTAAATAGCGATAGGTTATGATGTATTCAATTATTCTTCACTTTATAAAAATAATTGATAATTAAGTTTTTTTTTAAATTTGGACGCATCAAAGTCCACCTTTGAAAAGCATTTTAAAACGGTAATAATTTCGATACTCTATTTGGTAAACCATATAATTTTCTTTTTTAAAATTTGGTAGAAGAATCTCGATCAATACGCGAAACATTAAATTCTGCCATCTAGTCAGTAATCGACGAACTATAAGTTTATCACAGAGCTCCCTACATTCAAGTAAGACTTCAGTCAACGGTAAGGGCGACGAAAAGTATTCTACTCTTACTTACGTCTTATTTTCCGTATCAGACAAAAGAGGTCGCAACAGACTACAAATTTAAATATCCTCCAGGAAAATATTCCAAAATGTTGATGACCTTTTGAACGATGGTATTATTTTCTTTCAAATTTATGATATTTATTAACTCAAAAACAAAAATATTTTTCTTAATTACATTACAATTGATAAACTATCCAAAAGAGAGACAGTTTATTTAACTAGAAAGTAGTGTTGCTGAAGGAAATAAACAGCTTACCAGGTACCTTGCGGTTACCTTGAAGAAAATGTAAAAGTCAGTCCACCAAGAGTTATGACAAATACAGGACACAAAATGTGTCTGTACACACATACTGTAAATATCAACGCAATTTAATCGTTTTTTAAAAAGTATCTAGTGTAATATTCTGTACCTGTAAATTATGTGTTACTTAAATATTTAATTAGGTAAGTCGCTTTCGATTATTAATATACCCAGTGACCTAAATATTTTCTATATTTCACACGTTATATTTTTGTTTATTGTAAGTTATATGTATGGAATCCTGTGAGAAAGGATAATTAGGTATTACAAATACGTGAAACTTTTAAAGCAAAGTAATGGATTGTCCTTAAGAATACATATTGCAAATTTTTCAGATATTTACGCTTATGCATAAGGTAAAATAAGTTTGTAATTTATTAGTTTTTTTTATTAAGAAAACCAGTATGTGCAAGGTTAGGAACTACTGCTAAATAGTAAAAGTGAATAATTATTATTACCACCATTAACAAATAACTTTAAATAAATTCGAGGAATTATACTAGGTATTATATAGATATTAGTTTTCGTTTTCTAATTAAAAAATAATAATACTCGTATTATTTTATATAACTTTAAGAATCAGTGAAATGTGACAAGAAAAGTAATGAAAACAGTTCAAACAAATTCAATTTTTTTAAAATCTTCCTAAATGAGCTGATATTCATAAAATACAGGATATTTCTTTGAATAATTGCTTTATTAGAAATTTTAATATAACAAATATATTGTATCGTGACAACCAACCCGAAAATTGTTCTACCAAGCTATTTTTATAATATGTATATTAAGTTTAAAGTAAAAGTTTACTTATTTTTTACAATTTCTTGAGTTCTCGAATAATTTTGTTAAATACAGTTTTTAAGGAAAACAAAAATTAAAGGCACTGCTTAGGGAAAATTTCACATTTTGAAATTTTTTGGACGCCCTGTATGTTTTATTACATATTTGATTACTGCCCACTGAGATAAGCAAAACTTTTTATCAAGAATAACTTTTTCTCGAAAAATCAACAATAAAAAAGTTTACCAGAGTATGGTACCCTATCTGGGGACACACTGTATATGTTTTTTGTTAATTATATTTAGATATATTATTTTAGTACTTATTTTGGATAATTATTTATTGCTAGTTGTTTGTTTGAATTAGCTTAATAATAATTTAAAATAAAAAAAAAATACAATGCGAGACTAATAACAAAATACATGTTTTGCACTGTAATAACGTCATATTTAAACATGCTAGTAACAATATTTAACAACTAAACTAATATTTATGTGGGAGTAGATGCGGTGTATTATTATTATCGACATCCCATTAGTATTATTATTTTCAGCCTAGCTTCGAACAGCGATTTAGTGATTTATAGCCTACTTATTATGGCACAAAAATGTTAATCTCAAATTATTGCTTCACAAGTGCCATTGACACCTGGAGCAATAACACCGGAAGTAAATTCTTTGTCTACTTATGGAACATATCATATAACTATAGATGCTTTATGAATGTAATTTTGATGTAAATAAATATACAGGATATTAATGAACTTATGTCAAATATTTTTGCCAAATGTCCGTTATGTCAAAATGAGGTAAATACACGGATTTGTGTTGAGTAAAATGTAATTTTAAAATCTGACTTACCTCAACATTGCAAGGAACTACCTTTTGAGAACTGCTGATTTTCATAGGAGATGTTCGATGTTCCCACCATTTGCTTGCACACAAGCTTCAGCGCGACGTATCCAATTCGCTCGCACGCGTTGCAATATTGCCACGTCTTCTCGAATCGTATTACAAGCGTTGGCAATACGATGTCGCAGTTGGTCGATGTCACGAACTTCCGTGGAATACACAACTTTTTTCACATATCCCCACAAAAAGAAGTCTAAAGGGGTGAGGTCCGGGGACCGGGGGGGCAGCTAACTAGTCCAGTAGTGAGTGTTGTGGACGTTGTTACGTACACCATTTCGACTGAAACATGTTTCATCCGTAACAAGTATTTACGCTGTAAATTGAGGATTTCTTGCATGTTCCTAAAGCAATCATTCGTAAAAACCACGACGTTCAGGAGTAAGTACTTGAACACGTTGAATATGAAATGGGTACAACTGAGCTGCTCGTAATGTTCGCCACACAACAGGATGCGAAATATTTACTTGCTGTGCAATATTTCTAGTGCTATGATGCGCCATTTTCAAAAGAAAAGGCTATTAAATGTATTCTCGAAAAACAGCACAGCAATCACTACAACAATGTATTACAAACTGACTTTTGTATACAGTCCGACTTAATAAGAAACCTACAAACTCGTAAAAAGTGTTTCAGAATTTTTTGTAAGTACTCGCCGCTAGAAAATACATGTATTTCAGCAGTACCAAAATAGTTTTAAACACATTTTTAATTAGATTTTTACTCTATGACCATACATTTTCAATACAAGTTCGCGACATCAGTTAATTCAGTTTTTGCTCCTTTTTCACCCCTTTAAATTTTTGACATAAGTTCATTAACACCCTGTACAATCGTAATTAGTTTCCTGCAAAATTTTTTTAAAATGTTTTCATTCTCTTTGAGGAAAAGATGATTGAGCCAGCGTAATAATTAATTCACCAGCAGTTGAGCTAATAAAAAACGAAAGTTAAACATCTGCCGCGAATCGCATTTAATTGTAGCGAACCGAGTAATCCGCACAACTGAAAACCAAACCAATATTGCCTAATATTAATATTCGCCTCTAATTTAAATTAATTCGTGCGGAGGAATTTAATTTGCAGCCTCCATTGTACTTCGCAAGTAATTATTAACGGAGCCTGTTGGAACAGCGATTCGAAACAATGGCGAATCGCCTTAAGCCAAATCCGAAACTTTATTAAAATTATCATTATTACCCCGGTACAAAAGTTAATGCTTCTTTATACGCTCCATAAGTCAGCCGGGCTACAAAAGAGCATTTTCTGTAAATGTCGGCTAATTCTTATTCTGGGCTACTGAACATCGAAACACTCAATTTACCTTTTCGCAAACAGGAGTACCTCAAAAAAATCAGGAGCAAACATATTTCATATTTTGCAATCCAATTTTCCCCAAATGTTGAAAAGCATGTCATGTCGAATATTCAATTTAACACCAGAATTGTATTGGGGTACTTAAAAAATTCAACAAATAGCGTTTAGCTATTCCTATCCATGTTTTTACGTTACAGACCCACAGCAAACATGACCGCCGTATTGTTCGCCTTAATAGCCTTGGGCTTGTGCGGAGTCCTAGCCGAGTACATTCCTCCGGGACCCCAGTATAGGTGCCCTAAGGAGAAGTTACTTCTGCACCCGTGCAGCTGCGATATTGAATCAGACGAAGGCATTACGGTTAGCTGTAACAACACGAATTTGGCCAGCATGAGCATCGCCCTGAACAATTTGGCCACGTTTCGTTTGCCCATCCAGAAATTGACGATATATAAATGTCATATCGGTAAGTATCGGAAGATCCCGTCTCTTAATGATGATCTTAAATTTTTTACTACAGGTTTGAAAATTAAAATGAGGTTTTGTATCGTCGCTGCGAACATAATTCTCATTCGATTTTTTTCATAATCTTACTAAAAAAATGACCCTTGAAGGATATGTTTCAAGCATGTTTATTTATTTATTTATTTAAGGAGAAGGGACAAACACAGGCTTTATAGCCCAAAACAATGTCCACAAATTACTTAAAGCTAATTGAATATAAAAGTACAGAAAAGATTACTATAATAGAAAATGTTAATTTACAATAATAATTCCCTTTAAAAATCTTTTAAAACTAATGAGCGAGGTATGAAAAATATCTAGAGTACTACAGTATAAGTTAAAATGTCTGCATATTCTGTTTATAGGAGAGTTTTGACCATAATCAATTCGATAAAAAGTCTCATGAAACAGTGCATTTACTCTAAAATCATGTTGTGGTACATGTAAACAGATCAAGGCTAATAAATCTGGGGAATCGATAAAATCATTAAGAAGCTTATACAAAAATATTGCTTCGGCAATAATTCTTCGATTCTCCAATGAAATAATATGATAATGATTTCGTAACATCGTGCTACAATGAAAAGAATACACATCACTCTTCTCGTAGTGTAAATATCGCATAAATCTGTTCTGTATGGCCTCAAGTCGAGACTTATATATGGCATATTGAGGACTCCATATACAATAGATGCAAAATTAATTATGCTGTGCACGTATGCAAAATATACATACTTAATAGCAAAAATCGACCTAAAATTTTTGCAAACTCTGACAATGAAACCAAGCATTTTGTTGTTTTTTAAAGTTATATAATCAATATGTGAAGAAAAACTTATTTTCCTGTCAAATACAACCCCAAGATCTTTTATTTCTTCAACTTGATTTAAAATATTCTTATTAAAGTTATAATTATTAGAGTATATATTTTGGTTACGGGTAAAACAAATATAGAAGCATTTACTTAAATTTAATTGAAACTTGTTCAATTTACAGTATTCAAAGAAAGAGTTTAAATCTTCCTGGTAGGCAATACAATTATCGGGATTATTTATTTGAGAGTATATTTTAAATCGTCTGCGTAGAGTAAAAATTTACAAAATTTGAAACAATGACGGATATCATTGATATATATTAAAAATAGTAAAGGTCCCACACATGTTGCCAGACGTTACTAATGGTCAAAATTATTTAAACAATTTTTTTTAAACAAATTCGTAATTTTCGATTTTTTCGCTCGAAATAAATTTTTTAGGCTTTTTGATATATCCTGAACAAAAATGTTCGAAAAAACGCGATTTTAACCATTTTCAACGTCGATAAACTGTATTAAAATTGCAATTTTTAGTGTTGCCAAAATTCTTAAATAATATTTGAACATCCCTTAATAAAAATCCAAAGAGTTACGCCGGCATATTTTATTCTGAAGACTTGTTTTTTTATTGTTAATAAGACGCGCGTGCCGCGTTTTTCGGCCGCTCTTGGCCGCCTCCGTATACTACGTCTTTCTCGAACTTTTTTAGTAAGATCATGAAAAAAAATCGAATGAGAATCATGTTCCTAGCTGGAGCGACGATACAGGACCTGGACTATAGTCAAAATTTGCAAAATATGCATGTTCATAATTGTCGAGCGAACCTTTTTACTTTTTTTTTTTTTATAGAAAAGTGAAGGTACATCAGCGTTTTGAGGTGTATTGTAGATATATTATGTATATTATGGTTTTTCGCGTTTTTTCACCAAAAATTGGCAGTGTCTCAATAAAGATGCAGTTTTTCGAAAAAAGTTTAAAAAAATTGTTCAAAATTAAAAAACCACACCAATATACAGCTCTTTAAGATACAGATACATACAGGATGTCCCAAAAGTGACGCCTGTCCTTCTGGGATTTTAAGAAGACAAAAACGAACTGAAAATCAAAAGTGGAAAATTTTCCGATAGTTTTTCTTTGTTGAGTTATTCAAAAAAGTTATTCAAAAAACTAAAAAAGTGAAAATCCAATTTTTTTGTCTCAAAAGTGAGGTCTATGCTTATACCAAGGACAAATAATTTATAACCAGTAAGTATTATAGTTCCCGATTCTCGGTTGTACCTGGGTGTAAGTAATCTGAAAAGGATAGAGAAAAACATTTTAATAATTAAACAATTTTAAAATAGAGAGGAAAAAACTCATAAACTAAAATCATAGTGTGCTTAAATAGGTAATAGAAATTGTTTTTACAAAAGGTGTTCAAATAAGTAGCCTTCTACTTCAAGACAAAGTTTGGCAGGATTAAACATTGAAGCATGAATCCTTTGTAGCATATCTTGGTCTATCAACGCGACAGCAGCGTGTATATGGGCTACTACATTTTCTGGATTTACAACAGGTTCGCTGTAAATCTTTTCTTTTAAATAACCCCAAAAGAAAAATCTAGTGGATTCAGATCTGGTGATCTAGGAGGCCATGCTATGGATCCACCCCTTCCAATACATCTGTCTGGGAAATTTTGATTCAGATAATTTCATACTCGTAAACCATAATGTGATGGAGCTCCATCATGTTGAAACCAATAATTTAGTGTAACTGCTAACGGAACGTCATCTAGCAATGGCAATGGTAAGTTTTCATTTAAAAATATACAGCTGCAGCAAATACAGCTCTGTACTATATAATTGTTTAATAACCCAGCCCAAATGTTTATTTTTAGGTTTTTGAATAACTCCACAAAGAAAAACAATCGGAAAATTTTGCACTCTTGATTTTCGGTTTGTTTTTATCCCCTTAATCAAAACCCAGGAGGACGGGCGTTACTTTTGGGACACCCAAAACTGCCAATATCTCAATAAAGATACAATTTAAAAAAAATGTTGGGTGTAAGTACATTACGAATTAAATATGCGTTTCGTAATATTTTCCAGAAAAATCTTTTCTTTGATTTTTTTCGATACTCATAAATATTCAAACCTCAGAAAACTATATAAGATTTTTCAAGAATTTTCCGCAATTTTCTTTGACCATTATTTTGACTCCACAACATTAATTTTCAAATAATCTGTACTTCATTTTAAAAATATACACGAAAACTATTGGGAAAATCGAAATTTGTCATAGCAGCAATTTTGTAGAAAATTTAATTTTAAACAACTTTTATTTGAAACTTTTTTTTTAAATGCATCTTTATTGAGTTATTGGCAGTTTCTGGTCAAAAAACGCGAAAAATCATGTTGCTAGTGGTGATATATGTTTTCTGACCTGAAAACCTACACTTTTCTATAAAAAAATCTTGTCATTTCCCAGTGTCAATGGAATTTCCCCGTCGTTTATTGCATTTTTAATTTAATAAATGATTTAGTTTAGTTGAGATATTTTTTCAGCAAAATTATATGGAAGCCTTTTGTACAAACTAAATCTCAAAGTGCTGCAAATAGAAGACACACCTATAGAAACAATCGAAGAACACACTTTTCTCGGAGTAAACGACACCCTTAACGAGTTTCATCTAATGAATTCTAGCCTTAAGGAATTTCCCACTTCGGCATTTAAGGTATGTTGTCCCTCAATTCTTTTTTAGAACCTGAGAATACAAGGCGAAAGTTCAACTAAGACCGCCGTTTTACTTATTCTTCAGTGCTCCTAAAATACCAATATACAGGGTGGTCAGAAATTAGCCTACAATATTTTACCAGCGAATAAAAGTAAAATTAAAATTTCATATGAACATATGAAGTATGTTAATACTTATATCTTCAAAAGTATGTATCTTCAAAAGGTTAAAGATAAAATATTAAGTTTTGAATGTAATGGTCAAAAAATAATCTCTAATTGTCCATCAGGACGTCCCAAACTGGGAGGATTGCAGTTAACTTTTGCTTTTTAAATCATTTTTTTAAATGGATTCTTCCATCGTTTATTTTTTGTTAATTAATTAAACTGGCCATAGTTTAGATTACTTTTTATTAAAAACCTTCATTTACCTACTCTTTCTTTCACTGAATTGAATGCTACTAATATTTTTGTATTTTAAAAGAATACTCCTCTATTGATGGTTAAGATAATGTTTTCAACTTGAAAACATTTATTTTTATGATATTAATGACACCTTTCTCAATTTCAGAACCTTTCAGACTACATGGATTTTTTTCTCATAGCACTTTATCACCACAGCGTATAGTAATCATTTCAGATAAATGATAATAATGAAATAAATAAGTTTGATGGGCTCACTTTTAAGTAGCCCTCATAAAGGCATTTCTCCGCTTTGTTCCTACGTTTTCCTGTTATTTTTACTCGCGAAATAAACTAATTTCCAGATATCCTGTATTTGCCTCTTATTTTTTAATCCGACACAACTTTCAGATCCTGGGAAACCTCACGCTCCTAACCATCGACGGCCACAGGATGACGGAGTTGCCCAAGGACGCATTCGCGTTGAGCGACATGACGGGCAAGCTCTTAAAACTCCAGATCGCTAATGGCAATTTGACAACGCCGCCGCCGGAAAGTTTACAACCATTAAGAAAACTGAAGACCCTGGATTTACATGGAAATCAAATAAAGGACTTAAAAAGGAATCAGTTCAAGGGTTTAAGGGACGTGGAGGTATTGGATCTCAGTTATAACGTCATCCCGAAAGTCGACGCGAGCCATTTAGCGGACTTAACGAAGCTCGGATGGCTTAATGTTTCTCACAACTCCCTCACCGAGATCACGCGGTAAGAGCCCTTAATGATATCGGCGGCTGAGGTGGTTTAAAATTATCGATAGTTGCCCCAGTTCGAGCTCCATTTGCCCTATCAATCATAAAACAGCCACCGCGTAGTCCCGATTGTTCAGAATTTACGTGAATGCATTTTTTTTCTTCGCCGATTAATCACATACTGAATGATTTAACGAAACAGTGTATTTATAAGTTACAAAATAAATTAAATTTTCTTTCTCAGTGGAGCTTTCGCAAGGAACACTGTCCTGAAGGTGTTAAACATGTCCTTTAATAAAATTAAACGTATGGATCAAAGTACATTCAGAGGAATGAGATTTTTGAGGAGGTTGTACCTGTCAGATAATTTAATCTCTGACGTCGGCAGAGGCACCTTCGGCTCCCTGAAGAGAATCGGAACAATAGATTTAGCCAGGAATTTAATCAAGAAAATTGACTATCAGATGTTCTACCAGCTCAATTTTATCGAGGTAGGATTTACTGCAGCATTAAAAGGACGCTGTTACCGATGGTTGTTTTGCTTTCAGGCCCTGGATGTCTCCGAGAACCAGGTTACTGAGATACAGAAGTTGGCTTTTAAGGACCTGTATCTGACTCACATCAATCTGTCCAAGAACAATATCAGTAAGATTGAGACAGGATCTTTTGAGAACTGCGCTAATATAACTAAGCTTGACATGTCCTATAATCGACTTAGCGTTTTGGCGAAAAGAGCTTTTGATGAGACCACCTACGCCACGGAGTTGCAGCTGTCGTACAACTTGTTTGAAAACATGACACAGGTAAGTTAAAAATCAGATTCAAACATGCATATAATTATGTGAGCACCGGCTTCTTGCACCTGCATTATTATTCTTTATGTATACTACTTTGTTAGATAATTCTTTCATTGGTAATATTTATAATGAATCCCTATAAAATTATTTACTTCTAATCTTGCGTCGTAATTGTTCCTAGATTCCGCTGCAAAACATGACTGGCATAAAGATATTGAACATATCCCACAACGCGATCACCTCCGTCCCGAAGAAGACATTCCCAAAGCTCTACGAGTTGCACACCATCGACATGTCTTACAACAATTTAACGGACATATTCAATTCAGTCTTCCAAACTTTGTTTTCATTAAGGACGCTGGACCTAAGCCACAATAATCTCGAAAGCGTTAAGCCCAGAACTTTCGGGGCTGTGCCGACTTTGCTCAGGCTCGACTTGAGCTACAACAACTTGAAGTCCGTCGCCAGGAGCGGGTTCACGAGACTAGCCAGCACCAGGGAGCTTATCCTGAGGGGTAACCAGCTTAAGACTATGTTCCAATTGCCGATATCGGTTTCGCATATGGATTTGTCGTACAACGATTTCGAGGAGTTGCCGCCTAAGTTGTGGCCCAGCATGAATTCACTGCTCAGTTTGGATATGAGCCACAATCGGTTGGGGGACAGTCTGGGGGATGGAGCTTTTACCGGGCTTTTGACGTTGCAACGGTTGAATTTGAATTACAATGGCATGACCAATCCTCCTCTGTCCGCCATCAGCGAACTGACTTCGCTGCAGTATTTGTATTTGGAGGTAAGTTCATATTGTGGTGGTAAATTAAAAATGCATAAGAACATGATATTTCTTTAAGGCAGCCAACCGGAGAATTAGATGAAATAGATGAATGAGTTTTCTACACTTTCAAAGTAGACCATAAGCTTTTAAACATTTTCTAATTAATAATACTAACTACATCTCTTTAAATGCCTAATAAAGTTCTTAAATATATTTTGTAAAACGCCAATAATCCAATTTCTTTTAAAAATTATACTTCAAACTGTCCACGCCTATATTTCTCATGATTTTTGAGACCGAGTTATTTACTTGTAGATATTTCTCCAGGCTTTCTGAGCTAACTGATTATTTTAGCAGTATTCTAGTTTAGAACGAACTAGTGAGATCTTGAATTTCAGACTATAAAACTTGAAACTCTTTTGGCTGTATTTATAATTGCACTGATATGATCAGTGAAGAACAGTTTATTGTCATATATCACACCCAAATTCTTAACATTGTCACAAATAAGCAGTAACGCATTTTCAAGTGTGTAATTAAATATTAGCGGTTGCTTTTTGGAAGTGAATGAGCAGGCCTTATACTTATCTATATTAATAGGTAATTGATTATTCTCCCACCACTTACACGATCTGTCAGCTGCCAGCTCTTGCTGTATTAAATAATCTTTCAAAGTAGATACGTTCGGAAATAGCTTCAAGTCGTCGGCAAAAAATAGATGATTAGATTTTAGAGGCAGATATAAATCATCAATAAATGGCCCTAAATTTGACTCTTGGGGTACTCCAGACGTTGCAATAAAATTGTCAAATTTAAATCCGTTGTATGAAACATATAGTTTACGTTGAGAAAGATAGGATTTAATGAGAAGAATCAGATTATCGTTTAAATCCAAATAAACTTAACTTATTAAGAAGTAAGTATGTCATAATTAACTTTGTCAAATGCTTTTAGTAACATATACTAGTCTGTAAATTATTGTGGCTTCCAATCAGATAAATTTTATCAATTTTTAGGGGTTCCCCAAGGGACAGTTCTGGGTCCACTGTTATTTATTATTCTAGTTGAATAGCTTTATGTCAATTACTTGCCTTTATGAACGAAAAACTGTTTTAATAAAAGTTGTTGAGAAAAAAAGAGGACTTTGTTATGATGTAAAAAAATAATTATGAAATTATTAATTTCGATTACGTCACAGCTCAATGCAAACTTAAAAAAAATCCACACGGGGTTGAAAATCATTGTTATTTAATGCCTGAACCTTTTGTACATGACAGGGGTGTAATAGTTGTTCCCGTAATACACGCCACACGGTACTGTTAGTAATACTGCAACACATGCACGTGCACAAGATGCACAGGGTCGGCTTACTTTTATGGTTAATTTTCTTTATTAATTTTCTCGAAAGCAGAAGCATTATTAGACCAGTTGCTTAATAAAAGTTGCTCATTTTTGTGACCTCTATCACCCTCAAGGAACGCAATTACTCCAGAAACACCCTGTATATTTTAATATTCTGAAAATAACGCAGAATATTTCAAGTCACGCCCCTTCAGCGTTAAATTGTTACTGTAGTTCCGATAACAGAACTTTATTGGCCTATTCTTTTCATAGAATTCTCAATAAATATCGTACGAACTGTATATACAGGGTGTTCCACCTAAGAGGGATTCTCACCCTGTATAGTTGCAATCAGTATTCTGTTAAAAAAAACATTAAATTGTTTTTATTTGTAGTTTCTTGATATTGCAAGAGAATTTCCTAAAACTTCTGTCCTAGACGGAGAGGTGAAAAAATAGCGTAGTCTGTATATTTGAATAATTCCGCTTTTTATTACTTGTTTTCTAAAATTAAACAGTTAGTTGACAGACACAGGCGTGGGAAGTTTTAAGTGGCTAACCCTGTGTAGTCTTCTCTTTGATTCCATTATTTTGTTTCAGGGTAACAATATGACGAACTTGGGACGGAACGCCTTCGGGAAGCTACCTGTTGTCTTCGAATTGAATTTAGCCAGCAACAACTTGAATAACATCAGCTCCAGGGCTTTCGAGGGACTCCTGCAAGTACTCGTACTAAATCTTACGGATAATAACCTCACTTATATCCCCAACGGGGCCTTCCAGGGTACGAGATATTTTCATATTTTTTTAAGAATCGGAGCGGAGCGGCTTTTTAGCTTTGTGTGTTTCTCGTTTTCCGCGCCTGGTGGATTACTGTCGTTTTGTCGGAAAAGCCGTTTTCTCATATATTATTCCTAATCGTAACTTTTTACAGGGCCGTCTTTCACCGTCGCACGGAAAAATACGCTAAAAATGTAAACAGTCTGTAATTGCATACACATAAAATATGCAACACCTACATTTAAATTATAATTTAAAGATCTGAAGCAGAAACGATATAAAAAGTAGTAAATATTGAACTAATATATCAGTGCATTTAAAAGAAGGTAGAAGACAGGCAGTATTACTTGTTTGACATCAACATGTGGATATATTAAAAAGCAATTTCAAAGACAAGTTATTAATTATACAATTTGAAGCTACTACTCTGCGGACTAAAGCCCCTTCCAGGATTGACTTATAGCCACAATATCTCACCCATATTAATAATCATTTAAAAGAGTAAAAATAATCTATTCAAATATTATGAATAAAACAAACATACATTTTAATATTAGCTTCTGTACTTTACTTTAACTTGCTGCTAGACTAACTTTTAGTATTTAGAGCAGTGGTCTATCTGTGCAATATAATTAATTACTAATTAAAAGGTTGCCTCTAAGGTTGCTTATGAGATATTAATATAAAAGAGCATTTATACTTCAATAGATAATAATTTTAGGAATATTTTTAGGCTGATGATGTTGCGTGAAGCGACTACTCTGCGGACGAATGCCCCGTTACCATTTTTTAGATATAACAAGAAATTATTTTTTTAATGGAAAACTGTCTATTTTTATTTATTTGGATATAAAGCTTTCTTACGTTAAACTGATATAAATTTTGAGCGTCTATCTCAACGTCTATCTTCAAAGATATAACCAACAGAGAATTGTGCAACAAAGAAATTACTAAGTATCATGCAACCTAACATATTTGGCTTTTGTAAAAGTCTTTTGGATATTACAGATATATCTTGCTATAAAACTAGAACTGTCAAACGTGGTATCATTGTATTCCTAAGATTTTATTCAAAAAGTATAGAGTAGTATAGATATATGATATATGATATAAGGTATACGGTATACGATATACGATATATGATATACGATATCCGATATATAATATATTAAGTTGTGTATTAATAATTTACAAATATTTAGCCTTAGGTCAAGTTGGCGCAAAAGGTGCTTGTCTGGCGGGTAGCATTGCGTTGTAGTACTATCCATCAACGTTGGTCGCTACCGGTCAAACAGGCACCTTCCACTACCCTCCTAGCAAATCGCTAGCAGTATGGACATGGTGATTTAGGTTTAGTCATTCAATTATTATAATTTTTTAATCCCTTATGATTACTTAAAAAATGGTTGTAAAACAGGTACGCTTTTTTAGGTTTGGTAGCTCTTCAGACCTTGGATCTATCAAATAATAAAATTGCCAAATTGGATAATAAGACCCATGGGTTACTAGATGATTGTTTATCCTTAGAAAGGGTAAGTCGGTTAGCTCATACCTAACTATATTTTCTTAACAGTGGAGTAATTTCATTTTAATTATCATTCTGTCATTCAAAGAGATAAGTAAAAATCATGTTTGTATATAGGGCGTCCAAAATTGGATAGACCAAAACTTAAATGGTAATAAATCTTCTAATTGTTTCACTTGTTTAAGACTAAAACATACATTTTTTATTTATTTGCTGAAAAGGTTTTTTATTTAAAATTATCCATTTCCAAATTGTTGGTCATTTAGATGAAAAAAAAACAAAATTTGATTGTATTATTTTTTGTTAGATAATAATTAAATAATAAGGTATTTTTTGTAAAGGAGACTCCAAATCCTTGAGTATATTTTGAAATTAACAATATTACAAAAAACAACTACTCTGCGATCTAATGCCCCGACTAGCGCTGGATTATGCTGTGCCAGTTTGGAAATTGTTTCATCAAGTGTGTAAATTATTATTTATTTATCATTAGACGTTTTGAATACAGCGTGTCGCGCTTAAATGTGATACTGTAACTAATTTTTTTGGCCGAATTCAAAAAATTTTATTTGGGAATGTAGGGTAAAAAAACTCTATATAACTATGATACTGCTGTTTTATTAATGCAATTCACGACCAACTAGGACACGTTTTCTTTGTAAATTTTGATATCGGTCAAAAAACAAAGAAGCTGCAGGCTTGTATCAACCTGTATATTAAAAAAAAGAACCATTTTTTTATCACCTGTTTAGGGTATGCAATTCGAGACATCCTGTATAATTAATATTTGCACTCAAACGCAGTTAACATAAGCTATTATAAAGAATAATAATATACCGCCCCTCTTCACAAATCGTTAATTTAATTGCACCGGTTGAGGTAACCTTTTTCCAATTCTCTTTAATTATACTGACATTTACATAAGTTTAAGGGCATTAAAAAAGTTTTACAGATAATGTAGGTACCTATTCTTCGTCATTAAATTTAAAGGGCTGACGTTCTGTTTCAGCTGAACCTGAGCCGCAACAAAATAAGCTTCCTGACCAGAAAGACGTTCCCGAGCAACCCATACATTCCTTATAAATTAAAGGAGATCGACCTGTCTTACAACTTAATGCCCGTAATAACGTTTGATCTCACTTTCGGAACGTCGAAATTGGAAAAGTTGAATCTCTCTCATAATTCTATCGCAGACATTCGGAAAGGTAAGGATTAGAAGGCTCTGGGTTTTTTATTGCTGGATTGGAGGGGTGCTCCGGGCTCATTTGCATTGTTTTGCTTACAGCCAACGTTTCGCACTGACTGCGTGGAAGATTGATTTTTGCATTACTTCAAAGATATTAAGCTGATTAAAATCAATTCATTTTTTTTTAATTCTTACTAAATGAAGCCATACAGTGTGTGCCACGATTGTCCCGAAGAGGAAAAATGTCTTTGTTTGAAAATTTATGAGAAAATCCCTTTATAAAAACTTTTCTTGTCTCCAAACTCGTAAAAATGTTAATACTATCTTGATCTTGCTTTATATAAAGCGTGTACATTTTTTTGAAAATTTTAGAAGTAAGTTCAAGCAAAGTTCACCAATCTTTTGAAATATCGAAGAGATATTATTTGTTAGTAGTTTCAAGAAAGTTATAAATATGAAGTTTCTAATTTATTTCATATTATAAGCTTAGATATTTATGATTCTCGTAATTATATATTATTAGAGACTGCTTAATAAATGATAACATAGGAGCAAAAAAAAAGGAGTGTAGAGTTCCTTGAACCAGACCAAGTGGATTATATGTTTTTTGGGTCGCTGAAACCGAATCCAAAACCTGTTTTGCCCCATTACGTCAGCGATTTTTTCTAACCTCAAAAAACAGCTTGAAACTATGAAACCCAACAATATCAACCTTTAAACCATATAACCCTATACTTTCATAACTCAATAACCTTGAGATCGATAATCTATAATTCTAAAACCCATAACCTGAAAATCTATAACCTCAAAACTCATAAATCTCAAATCCCAATAAAGTGCAAATACAAAATGAGCAAAAAAATAACAAAAAAACTTACACGCAAAACTGAAACCTCAATATCGGAGAGTTTTAACTTTATAATTCTATACATCCATCGCTTCATAACCATAAACCCCATAAACTCTGAAGTCCCATAACGCTGAAGTCCCATAACTCTATAACTCCAATAGCCTATAACCCCAGGAATCCAAAACCTTATAACCCTATATTATATTGTGACATGCAATTTTCTTATGTTACACTTCAGGGTTATGGAGTTTATGGATTAAGAGGTTATTAAGTGATGGAGGTGTAAAATTATAAAGTTAAAACTCTCCGAGATTGAAGTTTGAGTTTAGCTTGTAAGTTTTTTTGTTTTTATATTTGCTCATTTTGTGTTAGCATTTTATTGGGATTTGAGATTTATGAGTTTTGAGGTTATAGATTTTCAAGTTATGGGTTTTAGAGTTATAGGTTATCGATTTCAAGGTTATTGAGTTATGAAAGGTTTAAGGGTTGATGTTGGGTTTCATAGTTTCAAGCTGTTTTTTGAGGTTTATGCAGATTAACTTTTTTGACAATTGATTCTCTACATTTGACCTTGAACTGAACTTAAACCAGATCTGATCGAGTCAAACGGACACCGGATTCGGATTCGGCGACTCCAAAAACGTATAGATACGTAGGTTTAGTTTGTTGACAATTGATTTTCTACATTTGACCTTAAACCAGAGCTAATCGCGTCAAACGCACACCGGATTCGGATTAAGCGACCCCAAAACCATATGGATACCATGGTCTTGTCTTTCGAAACTGCCACTTTTTTTTTGTGGGGCTGTGTAATTATTGTTTATCAAAGTAATTGAACCATTGGTAATATTCTTCGATATTTTATACAATTTGGTTACTCTGCTTATGCTCACTTTTAAACATTTTTTCAAAAAATTAAAACTCTATACCTATAAAATTAAAAAGTAATAACATTTTTAAGATTGAGCACAATCAAGAATTTTTATAACTAATGACATTTTCTCATCCATTTTTTAACAAAAGAATTGTTTTCTCTTCAACACAGAATTGTGAGATACAGCCATAAGTTAAATTTTTTCTGCGTTTTAAGGATAGCTTTTTTAAATGTTCTTTTCAAAATTAAAAAATAGATACCTAAATATTAACAGATATTAAATTATAAGGGTGCCACGAAAAGTATGGGTTTTGCTATTAAACTGGTGTTTGTGAGCATAAAAATAAACATGCTTATTCAATAATTGAAGATTAAGATACCAATAAATATTTTAACGTTCGTGTTCTTACTGGGTACTTACATTTCTTATTAAGTATTGTTAGCAGACAAAACCCAAAATGTTCATCAAAATGTATGGTTTTTACATGATGGCGCTCTACCACTATTCCGATGGGCGACTTTTCAGTATTTAAATGATACATTTCTTGATTTGTGGATACGAAATTTCTACTTACGGAATGATTTAAATACAAAACATGTCAGTTACTTGCTGCTTGCTATGCCAGCTAGCATCTGTGTATAAAAATAACGGCGATTATTTTGAACATTTCTTATTTAAAAAAAATGCTTTTTTTGAGATTTTTTACAAATGATTTTTTGTAAGAAATACACAACAATTTTTTATATTTTGTTCTATTCTATTAGCATGTAATTTATATTAATCCAAATGTACCTACGTATTTAGATGCTTGCGTATTTATGCCACCCTGTACGTTAAAATGTCATACCACAGGAATTTACTAGTCCCATAGCAGCCAGTTTATCAATGTTGCATATAGCAAAATTTGATTAGGCTCGGTGTAATCAATCGTGTCTGACAGATTTATACTGATCCGTATCTAGACCTGGCAATGATATAGCTGGATTGATGTACCGATGTTTCCAAATAGAGATACGTCTCTGACTTTATGATTTTCATTCTTCTCTCCGATTATATTTAACATGTTTTATCACGATTATGTCGAAAGTTTTTTACATAATTTCCATTGTAAAAAATTGGGCCTTAATAAAACTCTATGACTACAAAATTTGATGCACGTTTTTATTGCTCGATTCCAGTTAAATAGTGTATATACAACGTTGCTGATATGTATGGAAACGGTCGATTATATCCTAAAGTAAGACAGCTATCGAAAAATCATAAAACAAACGTTTAGGATTTTTTAAAACCTATTACAATAAAGAACAATTAAGTATACAAGATCAGTTAGCAAGTAATGACGAAACAAAGTTGCTTTTTCTTTAATGGAACACCCTGTATGTTATTCCATATTTCAATTATTCTCAAAATTCTAAACAAAATTCATACAGCACATCATCGACTTTTTGACTGAGCCTGATACTTAATTTTGTGAACTGGGCAATCCAAGATATCTACTAATTTTACTTGGTCTTTCCCAAGAGTATTAATATCTATCAGAATGATCGGAACACTTTCTGTTGTTCCTGTTTCTCGCTTCCCCGTTAATAATAAAAATTTGATATTTATAGATTTTTGACATTGGAACTTTCACTATTAATTTATTATCAATACTTTTACCAATCACAGAGCCTCATATTATGAAACTCGCTTCTTCTGCATGTATTAGTAATGCCAAAAATGGCTACAACCTAAAATTAGTTAATGTTCACTGTTAGTCAGTCCACTCAAAGGAATTATTACATTAAAAATACCATCACCTAGTTCTAGCAAATTTATATATTTTGACTTTCGATTTCTTGATATGGTATCTTACAGACTGCCGCTTCGTATAAGCGGTTAACCCAGAAAATTCTCAACGATGGATATCTTTTTCAGCCATCGCTAAAGGTTTTACCATGGAATATTCCGACCAAAGACTCGACAGTTTAACATGCTTTGCTCTCTCTAAAAAATAAGCAAGGAACATAGTAAAATTATTCGCCTGATAATGATTACTTAAAACTGTTTATAATAATGTATTGTTTCAGTAGTGACTCTCGAATACTAGCCGTCAAAGTGGTATTTACCCACTTGACCTTGGTTTCAAGGTCAAATGGTATGGCGGTTGATGTGTGACATAATTTTTGAAGCTCAAATGAAGGAGGCTTTCAAGGTTGTTTGATGGCCTAGCGACCTTGAACGATTTCAAGGTTGTCTGGTGACCTTGTTCAAATTTTGCCTTGCATTATCTCTTTTGATTGGGCCGAGAGTGATGCTCAAAAAAATTTTACATCAAGATTTTAAAACTAGAATCTTCAAGCTTCAAGATGCTTTTTTTTCTAGATACGAGCATTATTCACGAAGTTGCAACCTCGCAAAAATCACTAAAAAAAAATTGGACATTTTTCTGCCTCCTTTTAATTATTATTTGACTGAATTTAGTTACGAACATTATTTAGTTGGTATCTATAAATAATATTGAGTTCTGTTTAAAAAATATCTTATATTCATTTAACTGAATCTATTTATTAAAATTTATACATATTTTCCTAATTAACTCCCGTCAGAGAAGCTTTGGGGCACAACCGCGCAGAGGCCTTTCTGAAAGTAAACGTCTCATCTTCATAAAATATGCAAATATGAACAAGAGAGTTCTAATTTTGGCTTATTGTTGACCTTTTACCGGCGTGGGAGTGAATCCGAATTCCCGGTTCCCACGCGTATCCCGGGGGACCGCAGGATAAAATTCGAAAAGACGTTAATAAGAAAGAAGTTATGATCAACTCCTGCGGTCTCCTTGGAATAATACTTCTAATTTAAGCTCTGCCCCAAGCAAGTCCACGGCGCTGGGGGATTGTGTTTATTTCAGTTGATTCACATCAGTGACCTTAAGAAAGCGAAATGTTCGGTCTGATGGGACTCTGATACCAAATTTATTGTCAGTGATGAAAACTTTTTCGTAAACGATGAAAACATTGTTTTTATTCGGTTTTGAAATAATATAAGATTACAGCTTCATAAAAGTACCTTCCTTTGTTGACAACATATCCAGGAAAAAATTTATCATTAAGTACAGGTTGGATTTGTACACCTGAGAGAATATTTTAACTAAAAAAAATGGAATAGTGACGTTGCGACATTTTGTTTATTGAATAGATGTAAGACATAATCTTTTATTGACTTGCAAAGCAAGTAAATCCGAATGTAAGTGTAATAATACTTTTGCGTAGTAATTTAATGATCCAGCAGAAAGCAATATATTGAATATCACGATCTTAAGTCTGTTTCTGGCTTTATCTGGTGTGCCTCAAGGGCCAATACTTGGCCCACTGTTATTTGTTTTATTTGTAAATGATATCGCTGCTGACCTTGATGTTTTCTCATTGCTCCATGCTGATAATATGAAATTGTATTATACTGTCAACTACTTCACAATAATTCTTAATAAAATTAGTGAATAATGTTGTCGAAATAACCTCTAAACATTAGAAATAGAGGTTTTGTTTGTGTTAAAAATACTAGTAGCAAACGGACTATGCCATCATTTAAAAGACAGTCTGTAGATATATGTTTATATGTTTCCTACTCCAATTTTATGCAAAAACGCATTTTTTTAGTTTTTTGCTTATTAACTAAACTAAACTTACTAAAGAAGCAATCTGAATGCTATAAACGGACAATTTGTAGAGAATCGAAATAACAATCGGAAAATCTACCGTTTTTAAAAGAATTCATTACTCTGTCATTTTTTAAGTTGTACAGCTGACCCTTTGAACGAAAGTAGTGAATTATAAGTACTTTGAGTGTGCGCATAGGGACCATTTTTGAGCATGTTTGAAGGAATTTTTCACCTATTTCATATCATTTTATCGGAAAATTAGAATATATGTTTTGTAGTATTGCACTTCTACTTTTAAAATCCGACTGAAAAAATATAATCGGACCACCTCCAACGCATCCAGATATTTTGCAAAATAGTGCTCCAAAAAATTCAAATTGCAATTGTGCCAAAACTTCGCGTGTGCACAAAGCGTCTGCTCTACAACTTAAAAAATGGTGGAGTAATGAATTAAAAAAAAAACGCTAAATATTAAGATTTTTCAGGGTTTTCTTCGTTTCTAATTATCCGATCGGATCGATATCGTTCTATTCGTATTTTGATTCTCTACAAATTGTCGTTTTATAGCATTCCGATTGCTTCATTAGTTTAGGTTTTATAAACAAAAAACAAAAAAAATAGTTTTTTCGCATAAAAATGTTTATAAAAAATTAAATAATGGTAAATTGGAGTAGGAAACATATAAGCATATATCTACAAACTGTCTTTTATACGATGGCACAATTCGTTTGCTACTAGTATTTTTGTCACAAAATCACTGATTTAATGCTCTATTTATTGGCCTAATGACCCCGGATTTTGAAAGAGTGAGAAATTTTACTTTCGCATACGTGATTGAGTTGTGTTCTAAGATCGCTTTTCAGTTCGTTTAAAGGTCAAATCACTCCCTCGAAATTCTCAGGCTAGTATCTCGTGGGGATAGCGAGATGCCGGACCTTTATAAAAGTTGTTTGGGTCATTGGGGACACCATCTAGTGACCTTGGGTTTGACCTTGAAGGTCATTTTTGTAAAAAATAATAGAATCGACTCTAAGAGGATGAGATGATGAGTTTCGTATCCATAATATCTGGTTTACAAGATTTTGAGGTCATAAAAATGACAATAGACTTCTTATTCGAGAATTTGGTTCTATACATATATTCTCTGCTTGTGGCCTTAGTTTAATTTTTTTCACAGCGTAGATATTTCAAACCCTGCTACCTCAGAATACGCTGAAAGTGGTGACACTGCCAGCGGAGGTGCGCTGTCCTGCAGAAGGGCGTTAGGGTTTACCAGGTGGAGATCTCAATGACCCAAACAACTTTATTCTGACGACAAACTAGTTCGAGAGGTATTTGACCTTCATTTACATTGAAAATTACCTTAAAACTAACCACGAACAGAACGTAAAATATTTCGCTGTTTCAGAATCCGAGATTAGAAATGATTTTGCCATAAAAAACAAGAATTGACCTTTAAATAACCTTGAACATGTGCTAACTTCGTTAAACGATCACCGGCTTCGAATTCAGCGACCTCAAAAATGTATGAGTCGGTGGTCTAGTCTCCCACACATTAATTATCATCATGCCCGTTGGAACAATCGAACTTCTAACATACTGTATAACTCCCCACAGTTTGCTATAATTGAGGCGGCTACTGTTTTCGTTCCGCAGGAACTGGCTAAAACCTATTTCGTTTCAGGTGTAATCGGAAATCTCACCCGCTTGGTCTCGCTAGACCTCTCCCACAATAAATTATACGATTTGACGAGTGACAAAGAATTCTTCCGTCTCCCACGGAACGCTTCCGAGATATATTTATCAAACAATCAGCTGAACGATTTGCCCTGGTATCATTTGACGAATGTTTCCCGTTTGTCTCTCCTCGATGTACGGGATAACCTATTCGAGGATTTCGGCCCGCAACTCACGGACATGGTGGTGAAGGGTACAGATGTTTACTTCGAGGGTAAGTTTTGCGTTTGCCTATTTCTAGCCAAGAATCAAAATCACTTCCTATCACGGATCTACCATCGCGAACATAACCTACGCATTTTGTGTCAGTACGCCCGTCCAAAACGGTGATTATGTTCAATATACAGGGTATGAGTAAATAATTGTGAAAAGAAAATGATTCCTTGTTGAAAATAAAGAAGGGGTTTTTCATCTAAAAAAGATCTCTCCGCTCTCTCCTTTCAAATAAATCAAATTATCGCGATACACAAAAAATTATGCAGGAGATTTCGTGTATCTAAGGGTGGTTTCTTCTACCCCACACAAATGAAAGGAAATAGTAAGAATTATCCAGTAAATGCCTATTTGATACTAGAATAATGGACATTAAGATAGTATGTATTTGAATTTTCATAATTTTCTCCATATTTATAATTTTCAACCAAGAATCATTTCCCCAATTTTTTGATAAATTTCTCCTAACATTCGAATAGGTACATTTAAAGTAACTCAGATTATATTTTAATTTTACAGGTCTATCAATATAAGCAGATTTAATTAAATTTACCACTATTCCAATCTGCTTCGTGTAGCCCAGAAGACATGCAAGTTGACAAAAAAGATGTTTATTTCCAAACAACTATTTGGACGTCACTGCAAGATTTTATTGACATTTGGCATTTCAATATTTCCATATAGATGTAGTATTATGACCCAGTAAACAAAATAATTAATAGAACTGTGAAAAATATTCCCCCTCTCTTGAACTAATTTGGTCAAAGTTTCTAATAGTTTTGAATTAATTTTTCTTATTAAATAATTAGTAATACATTTTCAATACAAACTTCAAATAATGACGTCATTTTGAAAGTAATTTATTTGATAACAGAAACAAAATAATTTGTAGTAGACTGTTCTCTCACAAGAACTGTTCAATATGACCGCCGTTTGGGATTTTAGAGTATCCAGCGAAATTACTACAGACAGAAAAAAAAATTGATGACAGGTTCACGAGCTTGATTTTCAAAACAAATTCAATGGCCACATGAGACAATTGATATTTTCCACCTGTTCTCGAGTTGAGTACCTAATACAATTTTTTTCGGTGACTTAAACTGGAATTAAAGTAAAAATTGGTCTACATGAATTTTTCGACATAGAATCGATTACCGATACTGCTTTTTTAGCGAATCTCACGGTTCCGAGTTATTATTAAAATGATAGTGTGTTTGCTTTTTAATTATATACAGGGTTACCCAAAAACGCACAAACTCCCAGATAACTTTTTACGACAGAGTCCTTACAAACAAAGTTCAAATAAAAGTTGTACGCTATCATGAAATCGATTTGCTGGTGACTGTAGATTTGACTTTGAATCTTAAGGTCAAGGTGAACTTTAAATTTTAATTGGTATACCCTGTTTTTTTATGAGAGCTATTAATAGAGCGCTAAATTTTACATCCAAAGACCTCTACAAAAAATCTAGCAAAATTTGTAGGATTTTAACGACAATTTATATGGTGACCTTGAATTTGACCGAACAGCTTATCAGCCTTCAGAATGGATCATTAAATTTTAATTATTAACCTAACGATGTGTTAAATTTCGAAATAGTTAGGATTATATCAATAGTCTTAGTAGAATAAATCTATTGTTTATTTGTGAAAAATTACTTTAATCTTCAAATGACATATCTACAAGGACATCTTAGATCGCAGATTCTGATATAAAATTTGGTGCTATATCAGTTGAAAAAAATAGCGTATTCTAATTAATACTAAATTGACTTTAGTTTGACCTTGCAGTTGATGGTGAAGGTCAAATTCAATGAGGTCATCATTTAATTTGTCTTTCAAATCCCTACAAGATTTGCTTGAAACATATTTGTCAAGTTATTCAGAAAAATACTTTGACTTCCAAATGACCTTCAAAGACAAAGAAAAAATGTTGTGACCACAAAGTTGATGGTAAAATTTAGCATCATATCGATTTCCGCGTAAAAATTTTTCTTTTAATAATTTCAAGTTGTTCTTAGTTTGACCTTGACTCTTAAGGACAAGGTCAAGTCCAGGATCATCAGCATATTAGTTTCTTGATATCTTACAACTTTTACCTGCAACTTTTTTTATAAGGCTCAGTTCTAAAATGTTCTAAAGGGTTTCGTGTCTTTTTGGGACAGCTAGTATAATATGCCATGATTATTTTAATAAATATAGAAAATGCGGGGTATTTTATATTAAAATAATGTGTATTTTTATTTTTTTATGAATAAAATTTGATAATAATTTACTTCTACATAGGCTTTCATAAATGCAACTCGAAAACAAATAAAGATATCAAATATTCGACTTGAAAAGTCCTGAAAATCGAGCTCGATAACGTGTCACCAGCCTTCCTCTATCTATTAACTTTTTTGTAGTCCGAATTGGGCTCACTCTGTACATGAAACACTTATCCGCCGCATCGACAAAACACTCATATTCCGTTTCGAGGGCTCTTCAACCGTAGTGTCCATGAATATCACTTTTTAGGTAACCCGCTCAGATGCGACTGCTTTTTGCGCCCTCTGTCGCGCCACTTCAGCAATCAATTATCTTTAAAGCCCTTCTACAGGAGCATAAGATGCGTCAGTCCGCCTTACTTGTCGAACCATTCTTTGTTCGACCTACCCGAGGAGAGATTAAATTGTCCCTCGAACGTTAATACCACCAGGATCATGGAGAGGCAGGCCGGCGAATATGGCATTTTGTCCGATCTGAGATTCAGGGAGTTATCGCAGTGAGTATTTTTTATACAGCGTGTCCACAGGACTGTAGCTAACGTAGATATAGTTATTAGTACAGTTGAAGAATTGGTGGAAAGATAAAAAATTAAGTTTTGTATAAAGTGAGAATAAAAACGACAGAAAAAAGTTGATTAAAAAAACAATGCAATTAACAAAAGCGTGAAAAAAATACTACATGGCAACCTTAGGAAAGAAACTCTTACAACGTATTAAAAAGAAGAGTTTTTTTCATCCAAATTTAAAAATACTTCGTTAAATAAAGATTTATGTGTCTTTGAATCCTTCGTCTTTGAGATACAGGGCACTGAAATTAAATATAAAAGATATATCTCTAAATATTTTCGAAAAGAAAATATACCTATTGAAAGAATATTTTGTGTGTACACAATAATAAGATGACGTTGGAAGTGTAGAAATTAAATTTCGACTTAAAGCAATGGCGTAGATATGAAGAATGTTGGTTAAATTCTTCTCAAAAGTTATGGCACGCCACTGGAGAAGAACACATTTTTTGAAAATTTTTTATTGACGTATGTTTTGTTGACATGTTTTATTACGTTTTATTGACTTATGTTTATATAACTTTAAAATTATACACTAATGTTTTACAAAAAGGATAAGAGGCAGTGGCGGCTTTTGACTTCCATATCAGGGAGAGCGGAAAAATTTAGATACAAAGTATTGAAAAAAAGACTCAAATATAAATAGGTAGTTTTATTGTAAGTCCTACTGAAAAATGAAAATATAATCAATATTATTTTTTATAGTGTAAGTCCATCTGCTTTTGTCCGAAATAAACTTTTCAATTACCTTTTGCAAGTGCTGTTAGTCTGTCTTGACAGTCTAATTTCAACTTTTCCAACCTTTTAAAAAACACACAAGAACCAATACGTAGGTACTGTTGCGGGACGGTAACCATGACCACCGCCGTAACACTTTACAGATTATGAGCTACGAGCTACGAGGAACCCACATATTTAACGTTTTTCATATGACTTTTGCAAGTCGAGATAAATTGACTGCGCATTACAAATTTAACATTTTTCTTTTAACGAATTTTATGAGGTTAATTTATTTAATTATCTAGATAAGCCACTGATAAGAGGATATGTGAAGACATTGAAAATTGTGTTGAATTACAGAAGCTCCATGTTGAATATATTTCATTAAGTCTTTTAAATGAATTATGCATTTATCTAAGTATATCACAGCTAATTTGTACTATCAGAACCGAAAACAGAAAAATCATTTTAATTCTAAATTTGCATTTCAAAAATGACAAAACAATGTTGTTCAGTGATGTACCATAATTTTTCAGGAAAATATAATCAGTGTATCTCATATCTACACCACTGATTTCACCTGAGACTTAGTCCTTTCGAGTTTCTATGCCACATTACTCATGTACTGTTCACGTATAATTTCATTTCAACATCTACATTTGTTCAGAAAATATTCAACTGAGTAACTTTCTGTAAAACACTGACAAATGTTCTAATAAGTATGCTTAATTAAATTTAGTTGAGGAAAATTTTTGACATATTTGAAAATGATACTGATTATCTGTAACTCATTAATATTTTAATATTATAGGTCAGCACATTTTAAGTCCTATATTTAGTATATATGGTACATAGAATTAATAGACATATTAAGAAAAAAAAATACTATTAGCCTTTAATGCTCTGTGCTATATAATCAGTTTTTATTAATTTACAGAGTAAATCTTAAATGTGTACATATATTTTAAGTAGCGGCACAATTTACCGTATAGAAACAAGATAAATGCTTTTTTTAAATAAGAGTAAAAAAGGCAAATTTAAAATAAATCTGCATGATTTTTTAACAGAAAACTTGTTGAGGACTGCTAACTTCTCTATAGAATTTACACGCAGAATGTAGGTCACCTATGCAGTGTTACCGATGTTACTCATAACTCTTACATCCTGATTTTTTATACGAAATAAAGAAAAAAGTTAAATAAACAAACACTTTTTTAGCAATGTGTCTTTAGCAAGAGACTTTGAAATATACAGGGTGTTTCAGAATGACCTCCCGTAAATACAGGGGGTGACAGTACGATAACAAATAAGAATTTTTTGTCTTATGAACTGTATGTCTATCTCCTCTTATTTTGGAGATACAGAGCGACAAAATAATTTTTTTTAAATAGAATTTTTACGAAAATTTCCAAACGGTGCGAAATATTTTTAGGAAATTTGGTATTCTGGGGTTTTTAAGGATGCCAAATACGCTGGTCTAATTATTTTTTGGATATTTCATAGAGGGCGGTAATTATGCTACATTCCTATTACATTTTAAGTTCTAATTTTTTTAAGGTTAGGTTTTTTATCATTCGGGCTCCAATTTATAATGTACAATTTTATTTTCTAAAAATAATGTACTCTTGTTAGAACTTCCTAATGTGGACGGTTTTCGGAAAAAAGGCTTTTAATTAAACTCTTACAACATTACGGTGTAAAATAAGTGACTTTTTCAAAGTAGGCTGGTCAAAACTTATTGATGGATGTGTCATAAACAACGCATACCTGTTTAGTAATATTTTAAACTCTCATTAACCTTATATCAAAATTTTAGCGATTGTTACTGACTGTAGTCTGTAGTTAGCAATGACTAATTACAGTCACTAAAATTTTAATATAAAGTTAATTAGAGTTTAAAATATTACTAAGAATGTATACGTTGTTTATGACACATCCATCAATAAATTTGTAAGAGTTTAATTAAAAGCTTTTTTTTCCGAAAACCGTCCGCATTAGGAAGTTCTAACAAGAGTACATTATTTTTAGAAAATTAAATTGTACATTAGAAATTGGAGCCTGAATGGTAAAAAACCTAACCTTACAAAAAATAGAACTTAAAATGTAATAGGAATGTAGCATAACTAGCGCCCTCTATGAAGTATCCAAAAAATAATTAGACCAGCGTATTTGGCATCTTTAAAAACACTGGAATATAAAATTTCATAAAAATATTTCGCACGGTTTGGAAATTTTTGTAAAAATTCTATTTAAAAAATTTAATTTTGTTGCTCTGTAGGTATCTCGAAAACAAGAGGAGATAGACATATAGTTCAATAGACAAAAAATTCTTATTTCTTGTCGTACTATCACCCCCTGTATTTACGGGAGGTATTTATAAACATATTTATGAATACCGAATATGCTACCCCATTTTTTACTATACTTATCAACTAATTTACGTTCATTTGAAATATTTCTTTTATGTTTTAAATACGCTTTTAACATATATGTACCATTTCGGTATTCTTTTAAATCGTTATATTTATTTCATTTGCATACGCATTAAAAATATTGATTGAATACAATTAAATAACCTTTATTTGGTTTAATAAAAAATATAATATGTATGGTTCATTTCTATAAATTTATGTTAACGCCTTGTGTATATCTATAAATTAAAACGTCCTGTGTAAATATTTAAATACACACACCGACTACAACTTCCAATGATTTATTCATGCGCCCAAAATTGATGGAACAGTCGGAATAAAGTTTAGTTAAAAACTGAAATGAACACTGGTAGAGTGAGCTGAGTACAACCCTGTTAAGAGCCGCTTCTCCCGAACTTTTTCTCTATCAGCTTGACGATCAACAGCGCACAGTTGATACTACGGTTCATATGAACAGTGTAGTTCTCAAAATATACATGTGAAGGGTTGAATTTGAAACAGTTAATATCTCTGTAAATATTGGTAATTTTAAAATGACCTTCATTTACATTGCGAATTATACGCGCAGTAAAAGTATATGTACATATTTAAGATTCACTCTGAATACTGCATAATTTTTTTTTTTTACAATACTGTAAACATTATTTAAACAATTATTTTCTGAGCAACTAAAATTTGGACAAGGAATAAGTACTTCAAGTTAAATTAATTCAATTAGTAAAATCGCCGGATAAACACGAAATAAAATCCCACAGTCCTATCTTTAAATACGTTTTCTAGGAAAAAAGGAATCTTTAAAGTGAAGTGGCGAGTAATGAAGCACTCCGACATCGCAGACACCACTGTATTTATCAGAGACGTTAAGAATCCCCAAGATATAGTTTTCCAGGCGACTTTGCCTTATTTCAAGCGAAGTTTGGAGATCGATACCACGGGTAAGCTCGGTAAAAAGTTGCAGGAGGCCACCGAACACCAAATATGTCTGGTGGCCAGGGACAGCAAGAATTTCGCTAAGACATTCTACCAGGATCAGTGCAAAGATTTAAGAGAGACGATATCGGGCGCACCTAAATATCAGCAAGGAGTTAATTTTGTTTGCTCCTTTTTGCTGCTACATTTGTTGTTGTATTTGAATTTGTGATATGTAAAATATGTAAATAATATATTTTTCACAATAAAGTGTTATTTCTATGAATGTATTTCATATGCTGAAGCGAAAGGTGTTCTCATAACCAGCAGAAAAACTAAAGCAGTGGCAAATTATGCAGTTAAATAGTTTTAAAGGTAATAAATACACATAACTTTAAATTATTTTCCTCTATTAGCGTTCCTGAATTAATAACTACGACTATAAACATGTTTACGCTCCTATTTATTTTACTAATCATCCTTTAAATCGTTATTTGTAATTATGGCAGGTTCTACAAATTTTTAATCAAAGGCTTAGCTTATATTTATCATCCTATCCGCTCCTATTGGCCACCTGTTTTAACAGGTAAAGGTTAGCGATACCTTAATTGCTACCTGTTAAATTTTCTTCTAAATTAATCGACGCAGTAATGCTAGAGCCATTAACCATATTCAGTAACACCAAACTATCCGTTACACTGCCCTTTCCCAGCTAGCAGATGGTATCATAAAGTGGAATTTACTCCAAGCTTATCGTTGGACTCTAACTTATGGTTTCCTATAACTACAACGAATTGCAGGAATGCCGAAAGGTTTTTCTAAAATAAATTAGAAACTGATAAATATTTATTACTTTATGTAATGTTTAAATCGAGAATGTCTTGCATACCACGTGTCTGCATTTACTATTTGATTGGGTAATTCTGCCAAGCTCATCCGATAAGAATAGTAATTTTTTATTTTTTTTTTTTTGAATTCAGGTAATTTTCATTTTAGATGTAGATATAAAGGTGTAATAAAATGTTTATATGATAGAAAGAAATCGATTTAGGAAACATCCAAAAAGATTGGGTAATACAGTCTTTGAAATTATTGCGAATAAAAATGATTCTCAAAAAACAACAACAAAATGTTATTTATGCAGCAAAAATACTACATTTAAGAGATTTATTTGAAAAATTAAAAAAACCTATAGTAGTAAATACTTACAGATGCATTTCCTTAGCCTTATCTAGGAATCTTTGACCTGCTTTGTTGTTCTCGGGCTAAGCTTTGTGGAGGCGGAGCCGCTATCAAAACCCCTAGGCCTGCTTTGTTGATGTTGTGACCTTTGTAACTGGTCACATCCAATGTTTCCAAACGTTTCTTTAATCTTCACCGTCCATGATAATACTAGAAGGTCAGTCCGCTTGTAATAATATTTATGCTAATTGTTTATGAATAAATATAAACTGGTTTCAATATTTACATACCCTTTACTATTATCAACAATATTTGGTAATTCTAGTGCAGCTTTTCAGAATTTTTCTTGAATTCCGACATATCATTTGCGAAAATTTGCTAGTACGATTCTTTTATTAATCACTCGGTGGCTTTTAGTTATTTAACTTTGCAACTTTCGGAGCTAATTACAATTGCAGTCTTTTGTTTTAAAATGCCTTAAACAAATCCAAACATTTTTGGTGTTAGATTAAATATCTAACGCATCTATCTATCTATCTTCGCAGCTGTTTTTTATTGAAGAATTTGTTTCGGTTGTCTGCTGTACAAATACGAAATAATGCTCTTTTAGAAAAATCATTATTAACAGACAATAATGGTAATAATCACCACATGAATCAAAAGTTTGATATATATCATTTATAAAAACAAGTAATATAACATGAAATTTACATAAATATATAATAAACATACACGAAAACCAAACTATAAATAGGTTGGTGTTATTAACAGCACTGCCCGTCAGTCCCACATAGACAATATCCACAAATTGCTATTTGGTCTCCACGTGACGTCATAATATGGCCGTGGGCGTGCGGAGTATCATATTCCTTATTAGTCATGCAAGTTTATTTTTAATGCCTTGTTAGTCACCTTATTGACAATACTAATTTTGTCTGTTTAGTAAATTTAATAGCCTAAAAACATAACATCTTGCTTTATCCACTTTGGAGGGTCAATAAATAAAACAAAACATTATGCAAAATGTCAAAGCAAATAGATGTCATGTATATGACAGCGTAATTAGAAAAAGGCGAGGAGTATAGAACATGGTGTTCTATTTAAAAAAAAAAAACAAAACTGGTTTATATCTTCGAAACGCAACAGTCAATTGTTTTTTCGTATTTCTCGAATATTGTAATAAAATTTCCTACAATATTGATCTTTTCAAATTTTTCCTAAATAAAAAAGATGAGTGTACAGGAGTATTCACATAACATTTTCGCATAACATTTATTTATTTATCTTTTTTATTTTCGTATTTAGAAAAAAATGAAACGTGCGAAAGTTGTAAGAAATTGAGTTGATTGTTAAAATTTCAACATTTTGCTTACGGCTACTAAAGAAAAACAACTGAACACTGCATTTTGGAGATAAAAACCAGATGTACTAATTTTTTTGCCATAATAACGTGCATATTTTGACATATTTGAACGTGATGTAGCATTTGATAAGTCTATCACTAATAATAAGAGAGATATTACAAAATAGTCATCTATCAAATCTTGTATAATTGTAACCCTAAGAAAGCATTCTTTTCAAATATGTAAAAATATGTAATTGTTCTATTTAAATACACACAGATTTCATAAACATTTCACTTTGGCCATTACAAATTTGTTTATACAGGGTGTCCCGAAATTAGGGGGCAACATTTCTACAGGGTATTATTCTATGTCGAATTGCTTTTTCTTTATATAAACGTGGGTCCAAAAATTCTTCCTAAGGAAGTTATAACCACTTAAAGGGGCCACTCTGATGATGTTTTTTTCTAAATAACTCCGAAACCAGTTAAGATAAATTTATAAAATTTGGTAATTAGCTTAATTCTTACATGCTCAGTCCGCTACTAAAACGAAATTTACAAATTTTCATCACATACGTTCCAACACGGGGGGGGGGGGGAAAAAATTTACCATAACTTTTTATGCATTGACTTTTTTGACTTTTGACTGAAAATTATGAAATTTCAGAGTTTTTTAGTACATAAAGTTAGTCTTGGTTCAGATTGGTAGAAGATTCTATTTTTTTGTATAATCCGTGTAATAATGTTACATGTGTTAATCACCGAGAATCAAAATTGTCAATATTTTTTATTGTTGAAGGTTTTGAATATCAAAAACGCGTTTGGCCCCATTTGCATTGACAGTTATTTACTTTTTGCGAATTATTATCTGTCGAAAATGCAACATTTTACGAATGTAGAGCTAAATATTCATAATACCCATTTCTAACCAGACGAAAATCCACGGGCAATGCGGCGCACAAATTTTCAAAATAGATTTGCAATAAATGTGTGGACAGGAATTTTAGGGGATCAGCTACTTGGGTCAATTCAGTTTCCCGTTTGTCTGAATGCAGAAAGATACTTAAACTTTCTACATAATGTCATGAATTAGTTAAACGATCATTTTTCTGGCAGGTGGATAGGTAGAGGTGGCCCCATTTCACGACCACCTCGATTTCTAGATCTAAATCCTCTGAAGTCTTCGCGGGCAATTTGACGTCGAGCTGAAAAATGTATTCAGCAAAATGGAAATCTTTTTGAGCATTTGTTATAAAAATTACTATTGGGATAAAGATAAGTTTTATTAATAGTGTGGTTTTCAATTATTTTTATTAGTTTATTGTACATATTACTATTTAATAATTTCAATTGTTTTTTTTTTAATTTGTCAAATAATAATTTGCTAAAAATAATAAATTTCTGTGAAAATAACATATCCGCAAAAAGTAAATAACTAAACTGTCAATGTAAATGACGCCAAACGCGTTTTTGTTCTTCACAGCCCGCTACAATAGAAAATATTGACAATTTCGATTCTTGGTGATTAACGCATGTCACATTATTTTTAAACGGATTTTACACAAAAATGGAATATTCTACAAATATGGACCAAGAGTACCCTTTTTTACTAAAAAACTCTGAAATTTCATACTTTTCAGTCAAAAGTCAAAAAAGTTCCCAGTGTTGGAACGTATGTGATGAAAATTTGTAAATTTCGTTTTAATAGCGGACTAAGCACGTTACCAAATTTCATAAATTTACCTCAACTGCTTTCGAGTTATTTAGAAAAAACCATCATCAGAGTGGCCCCTTTAAGTGGCTATAACTTCGATAGGAAAAATTTTTAACCCAAGTTTATATAAAGAAAAAGTAATCTTTCTTGACATAGAATCACCCTGGAGAAATATTGCCCCCTAATTTCGGGACACCCTGTATACGACAGTAACAAAGGCTGAATAAGCCCTTACATGCGTTTACAGTTACTTTCTGTTCGTAATAATCATAATTATATTACCAAGTACGACAAGAGAAGATAAATTATATCATGTCATTGTCAGCCACGCAAAAATGAAGATCCTTTTGTCTTATAAAGCATATAACTGTATATGCGTAGATTTAGGAAATGGATATCCTGCGTTGGGAATGTTATATTATTAAAAATGTCACATAATTATAATTTTAATTAGCGGTATACTGCTAATAAGACTAATTTGAAAAGCACAATCGACGCTGGGAGAGTGTGAACTTTAATTTAAAAACGTATTTTCATATTATAAGTTATAATTATCTAATTTAGTTCAAAGTTTCAAGAAATTAACAATGTTGAAATGAAATAAATATGAAACCAATAAAACTGCATGTTCTCAAAGTAGGCAACCAACGTTACGAGTATGCAAGGGTAGAAAAACGTCTGGCACTCAATTGTTTTGAACTGAATGATGCCACCTTCCTAGTAACTGAAATAAAGCCCATAAAAAATATTTAATATGCGATCGTTTCCCGACCTGAAGAATTTCATATTATAGCCAAAGAATTTTTTTGGGTGTTAACGCCCCCGGTCTCGGGGAATTACTTATAGATAGCAGCGGATTCCGTCTTTGTTCTTTTCATTTAATTTCAAACCCCAGTCACAAGGGTAGGATTTATTACAGGCCACATCTGAACCCGATAATATGATCTGGAAATATATTGTTCCAGTGCTTCTGCGGACGGGGGATAAATCAACATTTTTACTTAATTTCTCTTTGATAAAAGCCGTTCTTTTAACACAAAT